CCCATCGCGCTTTCAACTCGTCCAGATCGCGTAATCTTCTGCTCTCCTCTCCTCTATTGATGTTCAATTGGGCTTCAATCATGTATAGAGGAGAGGAGAGCAGAAGATTACGCGATCTGAACGAGTTGAAGGCGCGATGGGCGGAGTCGCGCCGCCTCAAATGGGCGGCGCGACCCCGCCCATCGCGCCAAACGACATACACCCATCACATGATAGATCACAGATATACATAGGTCAAAAATCAAAATTCCCGCACTTTTCGAAAAACCCCATCAAGACTTTGATCAACCCAATATTAACGAAATTTGATGCCAATGACCGTGAATATAGGGGATAGCGCTTATTCCACTTTCATTCTCAAATAATGAGCTTAATTCAGCCACTCTCATCACCAAAGGATGAAGCTATCGCTCGGACCATCGAAAGAACCGCTGAGAACCACACACTTTTGTGAGTTTTTTCTTCCTAATTAAAGCTGAAATGATTACGAGGCTCCGCCGAAATGAACGAAGTGTGACTGATAGCCGTTTCGTGACAAACGAATGGTTTGATACATCCACGTTATGTGCATACAATAACAATTAGACTCTAGATCCAATGCCAAATGTTCATGACTTTTTGAAGAGGACCCTGTTCTAAGCAGAAAAAAAGCAAACACAAGAGATCTCCTAAAAGGCTGCAAGTTCGAAATTAGGATGACTTTTCAGTTATGAGACTGAAAAGTTCTATGAGAGTGGGACCAAAAAGCTTTTTGCAAACTGTCATTGGAGAAATACCGAATGAAGGGTGCTGCGTTAGGAGCGAAATGGTCGCGTCGCGGTGAGAGGAGCGTCGCGCGCGAAGGAATGTAGCAGGATGCAGCAGTAGGTAAGAAACACAAGAACAAAAGTACTAATAGTAGAATTATGCATAAAATAATGATCGCATATCGATTGAGCTGTATGAAAAACGTTAGAGCTGTAATAACGGCGAATGAGTGGTCCGCGACAGCCGCGTGCGGCGAATCGATTACCCAAAATTTGTCTTTGTCTAATCAGCCTTACAATCGACGAAGACTTTTTGACGTTTTAATGTCCAGAGGTGCTTTTTAGGAATAAATTCCCTCTTGCTATGAGTAGAAAATGTTTGCTACGAATTCAGGTTAATGCGCCAAGTCAAAGTTATCGAAGACACAAACAACATGTTTCTGAAGATGTTCATCCAAAAACTTGGCTGTCCTGAAGCTTTCCTACCTGCACTTACACCATTTGTTACACGCATCATGAAACAAAAGGTTCGAATATTCAACTTATTTCCAAAGAATTCCGGTTCGGCAAAGGAAATCGTCGACTAGTTTCCAATAAGTAGTAATAGCTCGGAGATAGAAGAAAGAGGAGGAACCAGGCCAATACTTGAAAAAGAAAATGAATTCTGCTGATCTTTCTTTGTTCAGGTTCGCAAAGTTATCACAACAAGTATTGGTGAGCTCTCCGTTGAGGAATACAAAGAGCTCTTGCGAAATGATCTGGACACTTACCGAGATCTACTCGGGAAGAATCAGTATTTCTTCGGCGGCAAGATGAGCTCGGTTAGCCACTCCTCGAACTTTTCTTATCTTTCCTATGAAAGCGTGAATAATTATTCAAACCGTCGAGTTTATTTCTTTCTACATACGCCATGCACTTGACCTCCTTACGAAATAGTTGTGGCTTCTCAACAGTCCTGTATCGAAACATGCAGAAATGTAGCTCATTTGATTCGCCAGATAAATCAGATAACAGTCAATTAGTTCAAACCAGTAGGAGGAGGAGAATAAAATGGGGTTTTAGTTAGAGCAAAACCTGCCTGGGTCACTATTGTCTCCTATTTGATCAAGTGCGCAGAGTCGGTACCAGTTTGAAGGTTATTGTAAGAGGATTTACAGTTCAAGTGCATGGCGCGGCGGCCAGAAACCGTGTTGCCACTAAGAAGGGAGGTAACGATTTCGCCGTAAAACCAACGCGTCAAGAATAAACCATAGGTTGTCGATTTAGTTTGGTTGGAATAGTTAAGTATCGAGCAGGGATTCAAACCCTGGACCATGCGTGCGCGATAGTGTGCTTTTGCGGGTGTGGTGCGTTAGGAACGAAATGGTCGCGTCGCGGTGGGAGGGGCGTCGCGCGCGAAGGAATGTAGCAGATGCAGCAGTAGGTAAGAAATACAAGAACAATAGAACTAATAGTAGAATTATGCATAAAATAATGATCGCATATCGATTGAGCTGTATGAAGAACGCTAGAGCTGTAATAACAGCGAATGAGTGGTCCGCAACAGCCGCATGCGGCAAATCGATTGCCCAAAATCGTTCCTAACGCTCTCTCTGCTCTTAGGGCCTGTTTGCACGCTGTCAAAATCGAAGAATTCATTTTTGTAAGCAAAACTAGTATTATTGTGACTTCACTGAGTTAAATGTTTCGTGGCTCCCAAATCACTTCACAACAGGGAAGTTAATGATGGTCAGTTTAACTGCAATGAATTTCAGGCCGACTGCACGGTGTTCTCATTGCTGGCTTCAATCCTATACGGTCCTTCGGATACCTATGCTAAAGAGGTGCTTCAAAAACAGTACCCACGACTCGTCTCGTACTGTGACCACATTCGAGACACATTTTATGGGAAGGACTTCTCCAAAGGATAGTCGAATGCTGTTACTTTCACTGGATTACAATCATTGTTGATTGACTATGGGTGAAGCACGAGATGCTGTTAAATTATTCAAACTGTTCATTTTGAATGATGAAATTTAATAAAAGATGAATGAAGTGAGAAGTTTCCCATGAGAAACGCGGTTGCCTCTCTCTTATGAAGGTCCCTGAAGACCTTCATGACCTTTCATTAATAGGTCTCATACAGCCCACGACTTTTCGATCATATGATTCCATACTCCTACGGTAGCACCACCCACAAATACTGTAATCACGAACACAGCTTTTCCCCAACCAAGTTGAGCAAGAGGAAATTTCAGTCCGACTGCTGTTATTCTGATCGTTATAGGAGCATAATTTTTTAAGTCAGACTCAATGGGCTAATGCTAAAGTGGCCATTTGAATCGAACATCATTGACTTTAACAAAAATTCTATCAAAGAAGAAGTAAAACGAGTCCAGCAGCATACCTTTCATGTGGTATGAAGAACTGAGAAGGCGACTTTTAGGGAACGACATTTAGGGCTTTTCAAATGCCGACGACATTCAGTTCGTCGTAGAGTTTTTCGGAAAAATTTCTTCATCGCACTCCAAAACGATTCATTCACCAGCAAACGAAGAACGTCCATCTATATTGCAGCCCAGGAGAATTTGCATCATCGGTGTCTACTGTGTGAAGAGGCGGGGCAATGGGAAAGGGCACTCAAAACTCTCATCAACGTCTCGTTCCGTGGCTTCGGTACAACCACGACATTCNTATGGTTGGCTATCGGCTGCTTTACTATATATTTCTTCCTATTCTTCAGAAAGAAGAACAAAAAAGCGGTAAGTAACTTCTACTTGGAAGCTCCCGTCTTCTGAGTGACAACGCTGCCACCAGCAGCACCAGTGGTTCGAGCTCACACTGAGGTTGAGTTCTTGCATCAAACTTGAGAAATGCTTTTTCGACCCTTCGTTTTGGCAGTTTGAGAACACGATTGACCTAGAAGTTCTCAAAACACCTGAACTGGAGGCTCTTTGCACGTCGCTAAACCGACATGATGCAATCCACCATTACTGTAGGTTCTGCCTTCCCTTCAAGGTAGCATTTCAGATGGAAATACGTAAGCATGGCTGGGAACCCGACACGGTCTACCTGTATCAATTTCCTCGAGCCCGAACTACGCCACAAGCATCACCACAATGTCTAAAAGTGGAGACTTTCCTGAAAGTCAACAATATTCCGTATGAGGTCAGTTTGGTTCCTTCAATGCCATCATTCATTATGGCGTTAGCATGATTCCCTTGTTTAACAACCACACCTTCAGGTCTGTCCCATTCCGCCGGCACGGTCCCAGTACGGCTTGCTACCGTTCATCGGGCTCAACGGCGAACATATTGCAGACTCACAAATCATCATCAACCGCCTCAAGAACCATTTCAACGTGAAGGTACGAGCTATGTTCACTAGGCTAACGTCCCTCATCACATGAAAATGAAGCTGTTCCGTCCACATCACATTACTCCTAGGTAGAGATGGAATAACTCTATGCCTGGGACCAAGTGAATCCCGAACGCAGATTATTCTGTTTCCCACCAAGTTAGGTCGGTCCACCTTGCCAAGCAAAGAATACTCGACCTTGTACCAGATGGGGTGACGGCAAGGATATTAAGGCATGCGGAAACTTCATCGATACATCGATTTCAGGGGTTCTCTTCACAAGCGACTGGGAGGTTTTGCCCGATAACTGAACGGCCGACAAGAATATTATTGTACCATAAAGTAGCACAAAGCACTTTAAACCTTTTATGGTCTCAAACTGTGATGTGAGGGCGATTTGACTTGTGCAACGAACGAATTGTTGGACAGCGAATGTTTGTGTGACGATCAGTTGGATCAGAATTTGCATCATCAGTGAATACTGTGTCAGCGACCATACTGCCCTTCAATCTTTCCCAATTGCTCATCATGGTTATTTTCATTCGAAGCGATGGAAAATATTACTGACTAGGGATCGGTGGATGTGTGACCCTTTGTATTATCATCGCCCACGATGTGAAGTTGGAGAAGTTCTCAGGGAACATCTGAATCAATGGTTCGCTATGAGAAAAAGACCTTATTGGAATCGTCAAGTAGGAACGATTTGAACTAGTATACATACACTAGTGTTAACTACTACTGACAACTGGTACTTGATGACATTCGGAAGCCCATTCTCACCTTTTTATAAGCCTATTCGATCGGGGCTCCCACCCGAAAAAAGTTGACTTCCACCGATCCAACTGCACCACATTTCCGATGTTCGCATGTTCTGCATTCACTGTGCCACAGAGTCGAAAAAACCGACCCCGTGAGAAGGGTCTATTGTGGGTCAGGTCGAATGCGCGGTGGATTTTCGACAGGATGTTGGGGAGAGAGGATAAGAACCACCTGATTTCACCCCCTTTCATGTTTTAAGTAAAACTTTTGAACCAAATTAAATCAGCTTCGTGAGTGTATTATGTAAAGCGTTCACCAGAGAGGGTCAAATTAGACCTAACAGCTCGGAATCATGTAGACTTCCAAGTTTCCACATATCCGTAGTAGTTCTAGAAAAAGTTATGATCGATGAGCCTGGCAAGATGTCGAGATTCTCTGCGTGGCACGAAGGGCCGACTTGAACCGCTGAGAAATAGGAAAACCCTATGTCCGGGATTCTTTAGACCTCACGTATATGGGTATTCTATTCCTACCCAACAGTACTGGTCATCTGGTCGGAACAGAATCACCGCGCTCTTGACGAGCGATCGAGAACGACCGTGTCAGGACCTCTTCTCTTCGAATTCCTAGTGAACTTGACGAAATTCGATAGTAAGGACAGCGAAAGTAGGGGATAGCGCCTATTCTACTTTCTTCCTCAATTCATGTTCTTCATTCAGCCACTTTCGTCACCAAGGGATGAAGCCATTGCCAGGACAATCGAAAGAACTGCTGAGAACCATACTCTTTCGTGAGTTTTCTCATCCTAATTAAAGCGGAATGATTAGGAGGCCTCCGCCAAATTGAACGAACTGTGACTGATAGCTGTTTCGTAACAAGTGAATGGTTCAGTAAATTCACGTAGTATACAATCTAAAAAGGTCTTTTCGTCTGAGGGGTGCGCCCCGCACTTGACTTCCATTCAGAATCGTAGAAACGTATAGAATGCGTATGTGGCCTATACAATGATTGCGGAGTCCAGCCGAAGGCGCATCCCTCAGGCAAATCCTGCTTTTATCCTACAAGACAAGTTTGTATCAATCACGGACGTCGGTGGAATGAAAAGTGTAATTGACCTAGAGGGATATGGACGGATATCGACCCGGGGTTTGAACCCATTACCATGCGTGTGTGATAGTGCGCCACTTCCCACAGCACCACCTCCACCCTTTTGAGAATACATATATTGCACAGGATGAGAAACCATCACAGGAAGTCCCCTGGAAGACTGCAAACTGAAAGTTAAATGAGTTTTAAGTTGTGGGACTGGAAAGTTCTATGAAATTTGAACCATGAAACTTTCTAGGCGCTGCTTTTGGAGATACCGAACAAAAAAGAGAGATTTTCATGATGAATCTGATAGATGTTTATGGAACTTTTGTCTAATCAGCCCTAAAATCGGAGGAGACTTTTTGGACGCTGGTGTTTTATTGCTCAGAGATGTTATTTGAAATGAATTCCTTTCTATTTTTGACTGGAAGATGTCTGCTATTAATTCAGGCTAATGCGCCAAGTCAAAGTTATCGAAGACACAAACAACCTGTTTCTGAAGATGTTCATCCAAGAACTTGGCTGTCCAGACGCTTTCTTACCTGCACTTACACCATTTGTTGCACGCATCATGAAGCAAAAGGTTTGGATATTCAAATTATTTCGAAGAAGAACCGGTTCAGAGAAGAAAAAGGCCGACTAGTTTCCATTAAGCAGTAATAGCTAAGAGAAAGAAAAGGAAGGAGGAACCTTGCATATCTTTCCACTGTTCAGGTTCGCAAAGTTATCGCAACCAGCATTGGTGAGCTCTCCGTTGAAGAATTCAAAGAGCTCCTTCGAAACGATCTGGACACCTATCAAGATTTACTTGGGGAGAATCAGTATTTCTTCGGTGATGATATGAGCTCGGTTAGTCGCTCTTCGTGCATTTCTATTCCTCATTTTGAAGGGATGCATAAAAACTTAGACGATGGGACTTTTGATATTGTATTGATTTCTCTCAACATACGCCATGCATTTGACTTCCCTACGAAATAATTGTATTGGGTTGTCCGAAAAGTTTCCGCCGATTTTTGACACCCCGGATTTATCAACCGTTGTACAAAAGATCAAGGATCCAACCTAATAAAGTTATATGTTTTCTGAAAGAGTAGATTCTCCTCTATATTCCTGTTAGAATTTTGTGAACATTTGTCCAAGTTTTTCTGTACAGGACTCGTATGAAAATGGAGAACCACTGCGCGCATTTTCGGCATCTG